AAAATCCAGTACCACCAACTGCCTTCAGAAGTCCCACCTCAATGTAATGTCCAGTATCAATCCAAATGATCTCTAAACATTTCAGAGGTTTGATGGATAACAATGAATAGTGAATAAAAATCATTGTGACAACAAAGAAACCCAGAAGACACAACAGCAATATATATAATATATATATAGAGCAGCACTTTAAGGCAGACTCATGCTGTAAATGATCTTATCAAGCTTTAAACATCTAAATGAACACTGTTCAAACCAACAATGAAAAAAAGAAAAAAATGGCGAACATCTCGTACCTGCTATGATATAAACAGGAAGGGTTGACACAAGTATTAGCTAAAGAGACTAAAGTTACAGATCCCCTGCAGTGCAGCCAAGACACACAGTTGTTGCTTCCTTGGTTACAGGAGGGCAAGAAAACAACTAAATCATTTTCGGTAAGTACAACTTGACAAATAACTCATTGGCAGCATTTTTTATGTGTATCCAGTAGAATGGCTTGGCAAATCTCAGATTATTCCAAATAAAATTTTACTCTTGGCTTAGAATAAAAGATGCCATTGTTTGAGTCACAGAGAGCAGAAGATCCTCTCCTGAAAGGCTTGTACTGACTGTATATAAACTGAGAAAGTAACAATTCAGTTAATAAAAGTTATTAAATTAATTAAAATAGATGACAGGAGGCTGCACAGTGATGCAGCCTACCGACGAAACCACTCCACTGTGGAAGCAATCTCCTCTGCTCTTCACCTGAGCCTAGCACACCTGGAGGAGAAAAACACCCACGTACAGATGCTGTTCCTGGACTTCAGTTCAGCTTTCAACACCATCATCCCACTCCATCTGATAGGAAAACTGTGACAGCTGGGCTTTAATGCACCCATATGCAATTGGCTGCAAACCTTCCTCACGAACAGACCTCAGTCAGTCCGAGTCGGACAGAACACCTCTGTTGTCATCTCCCTTCCCTTAGGGCTGTGTCCTGAGCCCCCTGCTGTTCACCCTGATTAAACATGACTGCTTCCCCAGGTTTACCACAAATCACATTGTGAAGTTTGCAGATGACATTACGGTGGTGGGCCTAATTAGAGATGACAACGAATAGGACTACAGAGAAGAGGTGGAGCAGGTGGTGGACTGGTGCCGAGATAACGGCCTGATCCTGAATTGTCATTGTCGACTTCAGGAAGAACCGATATAGCTACGCTCCACTGCTCATCAACAGCTCAGCAGTAGAGGTGGTCAGCAGCACCAAATTCCTGGGGGTGCACTTCACAGACAACCTCTCTAGGACTGAAAACACCACCTCACTAGTCAAAATTGCGCTGGGGAAGCGTGGTGAGAACAGCACAGAGGATCATCGGGGCTCCTCTTCCCTCTGTAAGACATTTAATCCCAGCGCTGTGTGTCCAGAGCCCGTAACATCATCAATGATCCCTCACACCCCCAACATGGACTGTTCTCCCTGCTGCCTTCTGGGAAGAGTCTTTGCAGCATTCAATGCAGGTCCAGCAGATTCCGAAACAGCATCTTCCTCACCGCCATCAGACAGCTGAATGTTGAAAAAACTCTAAATCATGTCACAGACTCTGGATCACACTGACAAAACCAAACCAAAACATTGCATATTTGCACCATGTATTTAATGTTCTGAACTTCCGTATCAATTGTGGTTTTTGTACTTTGTTTTTCTTCCACACTGTTTACATTTGATTTCTGCTGCACTTTAAGAAATGGAAATGTCATGAAAGCTGTATAAAACGAAATGTCGGTTTGTATACACTCTGCGTATACAAAATGACAATAAAAGTTATACAAGTCTAAAGTAAGTAAAAGGCTTTCTTCTTGCCACTCATCTATCCATTTTCCATCAGGCTTTTATTATTATCTATTATCACAAGCAGGGTGCTAGTGCTTATCTCCAGCTGTCTACAGGTGAGAGGGGAGGTGAACCCCGGACAGGTCGCCAGTCCATCACAGGGCAACACAGAGACAAGTATTACAAACAACCCCTCACGCACACATTCACACCTAAGGAGAATTTAGAGAAGCCAATTAACCTAACAATCATGTTTTTGGACTATGAAACAAAGCCACAGTACCTGAAGAGAACCCACACATTCTCAGTGTGAACATGCAAACTTCATGCAGAGACCCTGGGTGGGGAATTGAACCTGGACCTTCTTGCTGCAAGGCAGCAGTGCTACCAACTGCACCACTGAGCACCTGCCACTTATCCATAAAGGCCAATTTTTTGCAATATATGACTGGTTGTTGTCCTATGTTACACAGTGTCCCACCTCAGCTGTAGATATGGGGAGATCATGGGCCTCTTGGCTGCATCTCTGATCAGTCCTTTCCTTGTATGAACTGAAAATTTAGAGACAAGGTTGGAAAATCTTTTTGTATCCAAATCTGGCTTTAAACTTCTCCACAACAGCATCTCAAACCTGCCTGGTTTGCTCCTTGTTTTTCATGATGATCAGAGCAGGAGCATTTATACTGAGACTCCATACAGGTGGAATCATTTTTAACATCATTGGTCATTTTGGTCAACATTGGATCAATAAGAGATCCTCACTGAATTTTTGGAAAGTGTTTGCTGCATTTAAAGGGGCAAATTAATTTTGCATGCCCCACCCTTCACTTTTTTATTTGTTAAAAAAGTTTGACATTTTCAATAAATTTAATTACACTTCATGATTGACTCCCATGATTGATTTTTCACACACACAAAAAAAAAACATTTATATATTTAAGATTGAATCCTTAAAAGTGGCAAAAGGTTGAGAAATCCAAATACTTTTGCAAGGCACTTTACATTTTAACATTTGATTCATTTGATTCCCCAGAATAAACAGCTTGCCGCTGATTCCCCCCTTCAAATTTCCATCCACAGGCTTGGTAGCTTTAAATGTCAGTCCAAAAACATGAATGTTAGGTTAATTGGCTTCTCAACATTGTAAAGGTGAGTGTATTTGTGCATGGTGGTGTGTCTCTCTGTGGGGTGTACCCTGTTCAGGGTGTACCCCGTCTTGCGCCAATAGATATGAGCCAGAGAGGGGGAATGGATGATGATTCCTTTTAAGAACTGCATCTCTAAAACATTTTCTTTGAATGTCATCTATATGGCTGTCTAGTTTTGCTAAATTATACTCTCACTAAAACAGGATGACACATCTCTGATGTTGCTGCTATTTTCAAATATCCATTACTGTAAAAATGTCCATAGCTGCATATTGGTTATTTATTCTCCAGTTTTATATTGTTAAAACACTTTACAGAATTTTTTTTTTTTTTTATCTTTTAACTCTTCCCTATTATGTTATTCTTATACATTTTTATAAGGTCCTCATTTGTGTGACCATTTTCAATAATCTTTCTGCTGCTGTAAATTTGCCCATTGTGGGACAATAAAGGGATTTTCTATTCTATTCTATAAAAGGGGTAGAGAGATATAAGTAAATCTAAACAATGTATCTACAAAATGTATCTGCAAAATCTCTAATATTCAACAAAAAAAAATACTTAGTTAAGCATATTGTGCAAAACAACAATAAAAAAATTTAACTCCTATCAGATTTATAGTTCCCACACTGCAGATATATTAGAATCTTTCCTTAAATTCCAGCAAACCCATTTACACAGTAACAGATAAAAACCTTTAGATAAACCAAACATTTCCGCCACATATCTGACTCTATAACCATTAAAACAACTAGTAACAAGTAACATTTCCTCTCATCATGGAGCAAATCCCGATGATGAGACATTTGTTCTTTCAATCAAGCCCCACCCCCCCGCTCCAAGGTGTCCTGGTTTTCCCAAATGAAAATATGGTCACCCTGTTTAAAAGCTGATACAAAATTGTATTTATGAACACTGAAAGTATAAAAAAAACTATTTAGTCAGTCTTCTATCTTTTCACAGTGAATTGGTTCACAGTAGCTTCATCTCTTCTATTTTTTATAAATAAACGGATGTTGTGTGAATACAAAAAATCGGATCTGACATGTCTTTGAAAATAACCTTTTCTCAGTTTCCGAAAGAAAACTTTGTTAAACAGAAGTTTAACTCTATGTAGAGTGGGCTTCAACAAAATTGAGCGTGTACTTCTGAAAGTTTATAGATTTTTCCTCAACAAATTGCTTTAGATGCTAATAGCATCCATACAGCACTCGAGGTGTTTAAAAAAAAATAACACACAAAAGCAGTTCCTGTGTTGATCTTAATTATGGCCTGAATATGGCTTTTTAGAGTCTTTTGGTAATGGCTGTCACTTCCTTTATGCGTTGGTCTTTAGGCAGCAGGTCACTGGATAGTGACCTGAATGTCATGGGTCACTCAGAATGTGCTCTCATTACACAGCAGAAGCTGTTCAGGTTTTTGAGAGATGGTAAGCAAAGATGCTTTGTACTGTTTAGAGTGTTTGGATGTGATATCAGCTCAGATCAGCTTTTGGAACAATTTGTGATAAAGGGTGTAAATGCCACTAGAAACAACTCAACCATTAAAGGTGGTATTATTTGGTGGTACTTAAAGGCATTGTGGAATCTAGTTTGTAATAGAAGAACCCAAAATCAGATCAAACACCTGGATGGTTTTTTGCATAATATTTTATTTAGATGGAGAAATAAGATTGGGAGGGATCAGCAGTATTATCCAGTCATCCAGCTTTCAGACAAGGGACATTACACTGCCTTGGTGTTTATAGTTGGTAGCACTCTAACCATCCATTCAAATAACTGAGTTCACCAAATCATTGTTACCTGAAAAAGGAGGAAAATAGGCATGTCACTGTAGCAAAGACTTCCATTAACAAAACTGCTTTCAGCCTGAATGTGACTACTTTTATATAACGCCACAGTACATTCCTTTCCTCTATATTTGTTCCTCTTTCTTTCTTCTACTGATCTTTTGTCTTGTGTCTACATGCTTTTTGCCATGTGATGCCTAAATTTCTCCACTGATGGACACTAAAGGTACTCATATTACATTTACCTTCTCCAAGAGTGGCACGGCTCCTTTTTCTAGTTAGAGCAACATGGCCAAGAATCAGGGCCAAAAGAAGCAGAAGAACATAGATCAATCTTGTCACAGCCACAATCCAACCATATGTCCCTGAAATACATTGGATGGAGAAATTGTCATATGGTAATCATTTATAGGCTTATACAAGTGATATCTAAAACAGGACAAGAGGAATCAAACTACCTTTACACCTTGCAAGTTGTATGACGGTCCGTTCAGTGCTGACTTTGTTCTTAACATCACACACCAGTTTTTTTCCCAGCTGACCATGTAAGGTGATGATAACATTTGAAACACTTAGGCTTTTCCAACTCTCTATTTTGGTTTGTATTAACAGGTCTTTGTCAAATGACAAAGTAAACTCCATGTCACCCTCCATCGCTGAGGAGTTAACTGATTTATTTTGTGGTGTCAAACTGGTGTTAGATATGCCAGGCAGCAATGCCGGAGCTAGAAGACAGATGCAAAATCATAAAAACAAGGTCATTACAATAATTTAGTTCCCATGTTTGCCTTTTTTCTTTTATTTTTTAACACATAGATATTCCACCAGCATGACACTTGAGCAGAACACCATAATGTAAAATACATGTCCAAGTGACTATTTTTAACCTTTCGAGTCTGATTCTCCACAGGGGTCTACCACCAGTTGATGAACATACTTTCAGCTAATAAACTCAAGAGTTATTATTTAATGTCCTGTCAACCTTAAAATTAGTCCTTTTTAATGTTTTTGCTACTATTTAATTACTGAATTCAGAAGTTATATTCCAGAAAGCACACTTGTATAATGCAAGAATGGTCACATGTACAGGACAATCCAGACTTTGAGCCTTTGGTGTTGAGAGTTCCCTAGCGTTATTATGTTCTGACTGGTGTTATCTAATTGGTTTCAAATCATATCTTGTTAAATGTATTTGTGCATTGAGTCACGTCAGGAAAGTCTCAAAAATCCCCACTCACATGCAATAAAATTCAAAGACCATTGGTATTTTATAAATGAAGATATAGTTTAGTATGTCCTTGGCACACCATCCATGGGAAGAATATCCATTAACTTCTATTTATATTGCATTCATTTCTATTGCCTAAGCCGGGCTCTAACCCTATCATTTGCCAACACATTCTTAAACCTAAATCTAATCTTAATTCCATTTTGGACAATTCCATTCACCCAACTTTGTGAGAACAGTTTGGAGCTGGCCTCTTCCTCTTTAAATACCACTGTTCATCAACGCACAAAGATGGTCCACAAAGAGATGGATGGCAGAATTTAGTGTTGATGAACTGGACTGGCCCTCATAGATTGATTGATTGATTGATTGATTAATTCATTTATTGATTGATTCCTTTCTTCCTTCCTTCCGTTTCCGGTGTGTATAGCCAAATTAATTTCCTCTGTCTCACAAAGCTATTATATATGATCAGGAGTAATAGGCAAAATCTTTTAGTTCAATGGGAATTTATATCATGTGCACAAAAGTCTTGTATGGAAATAAAACCATATGTAACAATATAGGTATATTTCCCTTGTGTTCTGCAGATCCAGTAAAAAACCTGAAAAAGACTGTGTGAACATATTATAAAACATTACTTTGATTATAATATCTTGAAAGAAACTAATTTAAAGTTCTAAAAATTGTGTTATAGTGACTAGATAAAACAGCTTACTTGCAAAAATGCATGATAATATTAAAAGAAATGGTTAAATCTTTCTCTCTTTTTTTTGGCTAATCAAAAAAAACAGGCTTTTTTGATTAAGTGGCACTGTCCTGGTGACTTGTGCCATGTGGTATGATGGAAGAAACAGATAACATCAGTAAGGACATATTTCACCGAGGTGGTGCTGTAGCAAAATATGCATTTGTCTTTTTTAATGTTAGAAAGTTCTAAAGTGATTAAAAAAAAGGAAATACATGCAATCTGCCATATTCCTAGGCAAAAACCAGCTAAATCAAGGAATAGACATCTCTATTTGACATTTACTTGATTACTGAAAGGGATTTCTAGACTCAATGGGCAGACATACCTTATAGGCAACCAAATAGACTTCAGATTTAACATGAATTAAAATACCTTGTATTTTTAGGTTTACTTGCACTGTTCTCATTATTTTTCCATCAGCTCCGTATTCTTCCAAGACATATTCTCCAGAATGCTTCTTCATGGCATTACCCAGTGTGAATGTTCCATGGTGGATTTGCTCAGAGTGATTTAAAAAGTCCCTATTGACGGTCACTGTCCCATTCTTGTCTATCTTTAAAATTCTATATATTTCATCCTTTGTCAGTCTAATCTCACTACTCTTTGCTACTGAAAGATGAAAAAAAAGTTCCTGTCCTTCTGCTCCATAACACTGCTGTGTTTGCTTGGAATCAGAGAAATTGCACTGGATGGAAGCTGAAAGAAACAAAGAAAAGCCTTATCTGAAATAGATTAAACATTTTAAAATATAGTAACTACTTCATGTTCATTTGAAACAAGTACAAAATTAGAATGTGGCATTTGATGTGGCTAGTTTATCAGCTTAAAAGTACCTTTTGGAAATATCTTGTGACCAGATATTAAATGTGCTTGTCATTAAGGATTTTTTAAACAGCAGCTCTGTTGCTCCGTTTAAATTGTTTCACCTTGGTGACTGTGGGTACTTTCAGAATTCATATATGTTAAAACAAAGACACATTTAAAGTGTAATACTTTTTCCAAGCCCCTTTTTCTAGATTTACTTTACATATAAGAGATAACCTAACCCTATTTTTACAGGACCACGAAAGAATAAAGAATACCTTTTGACACAGCAGTCACAACAAAGCATGAAAACGTTATGATGATGGTTATCATTGTTCCTGTAACAAACACATTTGATCAGTCATTTTAAAATGACAAGGAAATGTAAAGTGGTGGGAAGTTTGTAAATAAGCATAATATTCAAAAAAAAAAAAAAAAAAACTTCAATTTCAGAAAAAAACACGCATATTTAAGAACTATATAAAATATTTAGACAAATAAACTATATTATGCCATGCTATATCTTAATTTCATTTGCTTCTAATTACAAAAAGTGCTTACTGACCTTACAGTGATGTGATGTTGATTTTTTTGTTGTTTCTGTTGTTTTAGACAGACATATTAATTTTCTGTTCATAGATGATTGGTATGATGTCCTTCTACCCTTTATGCTCTTGAATCATCTGTATCAAGAAAGAAGTTACACTCTATGCTGCTGACTACTTGAAAAAAAACTCTACGTGAAGGAGCTTAATTGGGCCATTGTCAAAGAAAAAAAAGACACAACGTCTCCATGGGTACATAAAGTATACATTCTATATAGCTTTAAAATCACAATGAGGAAATACCTTTTTCAGAAATATTTGAAATCCAAAACAAAAACATTGTTGTGTTACAGTGTAGCATACAAAGAGTTTGTTTTGGTAAATGTAGTGAGGACCATGTATTGATTCCCATTGATTTTTAGTCATTTTCCATCTTTTTATGTCATTACCCTAAAAGTAACCCTAAACTTAATCATTACCAATGCATACCTCACCCTAACCCTTATTAAGAAGCTAAATACCTTGTGAGGACCAGCAACTTTACAACAAGTGCTTCTCAATATGATTGTGAAATCGGAAAAATGGTCCTCACTCTGATCCTTTAATAGGTACACAATAGAATAGGGCTGGCCCTCCTTAAATCATACCGGTACCAACACTTACTCTCAGGCCGAAGCACCTTAGCCTGGGTGCCATTCCAAACTTAGTCCCGCCCACAACGTTTGAGGTTGGGAAGTTCGGTCTGGCATTGCTCAACAGTAGCGCGAGTATGCTCGCACAATATCTGGCGGGCCAATCAAATTGTCAGGGCGGGCTTTATACAGTGATGGACAGATGATCAACAGTAACATAATCAACCACGTGACCAAATCGCGCTTGGGTGACAACAACAATGGCTGCCGCTGGAGAGTTGAGGTGAGAAGATTCTGCTATTAGGTCTATTCTAGAAGATATCGACAGCAAATTAATTTTAAAAGAGGAACAGAGAAACGCGATCAAGGCTCATCTTCTTATTCTAGGCGTGCAACTGCACGCTTTGATTTTTGTTGACAACAACTATGATAACGTTATAACATAAGAGCACTCCGTTGCTCTTATTGGTTGTAGGTCTATCCAATTGAGTGCAGAGGCATTTTTTTTCCTGGTCCGTTCAAAACATGCCCCATAATCACAGCTCTATGGAGCAGTATCAGACTCATATTCTGACTAGAATTGAGTAGGACTACGTCAGGCTAGAAGCACCTACCAGTGACAGTAAATAAATCAAGGAGCTCAAGAAGTAATACAATGTTAACCTAAATGATGCATGCAGTACATATAGCCCTTCCTTCTCATGCACATCCTTATGACAATTGGCATTGGTGTAATTTTCTATTTCTTCAAACTGTAAAATCCTTGAAACAAACCACATTAAAATAAAACAGAAATTCGTGCCAGTGTGGACATTACGCAGGAGCAGTCACTGTTGCATCTGTGTTAATAACAAAGCCGGTAAAACCGCATCATAGAAGTGATGGTTGTCGTGTGATACTTGAAGGTAGATCGGTTAATCCACAATGTGTATTCGTATTGTGTTTTACATTTGATACGCACGCGTTGGACTGTGCATCTATTTTACTAATAATACAACGGGTTCTGGTGAAAAGGCAATAAAGGTTTATTAGCTTAAATCTGTCAACTAAAAAACAGCAAACACTATTTTTCTATGAAAACTGTATGTATAAGTCTATCAGACAACTCTGAAGACAGGGGTGCAAAAGAACAATGTGACATACTTGGTTTTACTCAACATGTTAAACAGGCAACTCACTTGCTCATTAGTAAAAGTGTAAATATTTTAGATTGTTTCTGCTTCTGATCTTGCCCTATCAGACCATGTTCTTGCTTACTTTGAAACCATTTTTCCTACTGGCATAAATACTAAGAGAAAAGTTGTAAGAAAACATGTTATCATGGACAGCATGATTGGAAACCAAGCTTATCCTTTTGCTGCCACTTTACCTTGTAACTCAGCAGATGAGGTGGTTTGTAATTTCTATTCTAAAGTTGCAGACATCACTGATTCCATTCCTCCAGTTACAGTTTAAGTTGGCTCTGGGAAGAGGATATCTATGGGGGTATGCTGCAGCAGTTAAAATGTCATGATCTTGGCACTGATGCCTGGTCTGATTACTCATTTTACACATCTGCTTACTGTAAGTCCGTCCAGTTCTTATTGCCGCTTATCTGTTTAAGCTGCATTAGTCACTATTTAACCAGCCTCCAGACCACTCATCAGTGCCAGATTATTTCGGGATGCTGGTGAAACTTATTCTAGCATTCCTGTGTTCTGATTACCTGATCTGGACCTGTTCTACCTCTCGATCTCAGAGCCTGCCTGTTCCCATCCGATCTGTTTGCTTGACCTGTCTTCTGACTCCTGCCAGATGTCTGCCTGTTTGTGTACTTGGAACTGTGACTTGACTCTGTTCTGGATTCTCCCTCTGCACCTCACTGAATCTCTGTCCTTCCGGCTCTGACAATTGAGCATGTCAGTGACATCGGCTTTGGCTTTGCCCTCTGTATTATCCTGCCTACATTCGTCTGTTCGGTTCTGATCTTCAGCCTGTTCTCCGACCACTGATACATCAAAGTCTAGTCTGTGCGGCAACCACTGCGTCTCGTTGGCAGGAATACTCCTCACCCTCTGGTTTCGGACTGAACTATAAGACCAAGTTAGGGACTCATAGGTTATTTATCATCCACCCCCAGATTGATGTGGTCACTAACCTGCTGTATGCTCCTGCAGAGGTTCCTTCCATAGATGATGTTGCTCATTCCGATTTAGTGTTATTTAAACGTTTTGTGAAATCTTACTGTTGTCCCCTTTGAATACTCCCCTCTGTCCTGAGCCTGACAAAAATGTAAAGAGGGAGCTGAACAAAGGTGGCAAAATAATGAACTCTAAGTCCACTATGAAATCTATAAAGAGAGACTTCACAGCTATAATTTGCAACTAAAATGTACAAGAGAATCTGAAATAGGCTTGTTTTCTAAGATTTCCCTGTATGCAGAGAGGGCACGTCATTGTCTGTTTTTATTGACATACTGGATAAGCTGTCTTTTGTTTCCTTTGTTATTGCCCTAGCCTCCGAGAGCCTGCTTTTAGTTTCTTTCTTTTTTGTGTTTAATCCATTTTTATTAAACATCGATTTGTCTTTGTACCAGATTGTCCTGTACAAATAAACTTGCCTAGCAACTTATCCCATTCAGGCATTCATATAAAGGTCAGTCTGCTGAAGTAGAGACGAGGTAAAAAATCTAAAACTTCATGGGCTACAATGCTACATGAGGAAATGTTCTTGTGTGCTAAAGAACAAGGATCAAAATAAAAAATTCTTTAAATGAATTCCATAAAAACAATAAATATAAAAGGAAACAGTTCTGTGTTTTATATTAACAATACAAACGAGGTCATGCTGTGGGGTATATATTTCCTTAACAACATTTTGAGACCCTTTTTTATCAATTCAACTTTGCCTAGATGCCACAGCCTTTTTGTTTGTTGCTGACAATGCCATTATATTGAAGGAAAAAAACAAGCATATTACATTTCAGTCTGAAAAACTCACAGGAAGAGAAAAGACAATTAAAAGAAATGTATTGACACAATTACTCTTTGGCGCTCAGACCTCAGCAGGAAACATAGAGCTTAATTTTTTTATCGATATGCAGGAACAGGAGTAAAGTATAGGGCTGTTCCCCCCCAGGCCTGAAACTGGTGAGCTTAATTTTTTTATCGATATGCGGAACCGGGAGTAAAGTATAGGGCTGTTTCCCCCCAGGCCTGAAACTGGTGGTGGAGTGAAGATGGATGAAGTTGGTCAGTCTGTAGACTGCTGGCTAGCGAGACTGTATGCTGAGCTTATGGGGAGATCCAGTGGACTGCGTGGGCTACTACTAGAGCTTACTCAGGGACCTGGAAGATGGAAGTCAAGCTTGGATACCACAGGTTCAGAGAACCTGTCCATGATAAGCAAGCATGAGCGACAGTGGAGAGGAAAAACTCCCTGTTGGGAAGAAACCTCTGGCAGAACCAGGTTCAACATGGCGGTCTTCTGCCGGACCGGTTAAGATGAGACACAGAATGCAGTAAGAGTCCGGGAATGATGAAACCCTGATTAAGCTTTAGCTGCAATGGTGGAGGAGGGGCTTGAGGTGGGTTGAAACGGGGTCATCTGAAAGAAGTCAGACAACACATCC